TTAAAGTAATATAATTTGACGGAAAAAATTGATTCTTTGGTTCTAATGAACTAATTACTATATATTCATTGTACAATAATATAAATAAAAAGACAAATGAAATTTATTCTAAATATTTTTGCGAAAAGAAATAAAATCTTACCATATTTGAAGAAAAATAATTAATAATTTGGCTATGTGTAATAAATTCTTGTAATGTATGCATTCTTTCGAAGTCATTTCGGCATAATCGAATAATAATCTATAATAAAAATCGAGATCACAAAAAAAAATATTTAAAATTAAAATTATATTAAAATAAAAACAATAATTAAATTTAAATTTTGACTAGAATGGTTATAGTACAAGCAAGGTTGGTAACCTCAATAGTCAAATAGATGATAGAAGGAAAAAATATAAAAGAACTTAAAAAACTCATGAATTCCGTAATTATAATGTTTAATAAATTATTGAATAAATAAGTAAAACAATAATCTATAAATTTGATGATATAATAAAAGCAAAATTACTTACTACATAATCAAATCGAGCTGATGCGTCCGATCACAATGATTTTCGAGAAAAGAATGATACCATGCAATACAGATTCGCCTAGGAGCTTTCTAATTGGTTGAAACGATGTGGTCCTTATTTTCTTAAGCCGCGCGAAAATTAAAGTATTATACAATGCATTTTAATTGACGATTTCTGTAACATCAAAATTTTACGAAGATTTCTTTATTAAAAATATAAAATTATATATATGAAAATTATTTATCAAAATTAATTTAATATAAAATACAATTTTGTGTTAATATTTAACACAAAAAATAATCAAATTAAAAAATTTTGAAATATTATTAATGAATACAAAATAAAAATTAATTAAAATTAAAATAGAAATTAAACAAATATTAAAAAATGAATGAAATATAATATAAAAAAAAATAAATTGAAAATAAATAAAAACTAAGAATTAATTTCCATGTTATCTATCACTTTTTATTGTCATCCCATGTCGTTCAAAAAATTTAAACTTAATCTTAATTCTAAGGAATTCTCTAATAAAATTCCACATAAAATTGAAAATTCAAAAGAAGAATAAAAAAAAAATAATTTGATTCTCGAAAAGCAAAGAAATGAAAAGATTGAAAGTACATATTATAATTCATCTTAAATTAAGGAATATAATTTTGTGTAGAGCATATTTATATATATTTAATCCATAAATATTTATTTTATATTTAAAGATTTAAGATTCTAAAATGCATACATTCAATTCGCCTGATAATTCTATTTTACGATAAGTGTTAATAAAATAATATCTGCAATTTAATTTAGATAATTAAAATACTCAAAAGAAATTTGATATGAATCTAAATTGGATTACGTAATTCTTGATTTGTTATCATTTTTTAAGAATAATCCTTTTTAAGAATAATTTTTTAAAGAATAATCCTTGAAAAGTTTTCAGTAATGAAAGAATCTATAACATGTGTAGTCTATAAAAATGATACCAAAATGATACAGGTTTCGTAAAATGAAAGATCTACACATGGAGACATAAACTTAAAATAAAAAAAAAAATTACAAAATATTAATATTAATGATTAATTTAAATATGAAAATATAAAAATAGATAAAAAACAATTAATTATAATAGTAAATTAAATTAAAAAATTATAAAATATAGAAAGAAGATTATTAATATTAGATTTAAATATTAATTATAAATATTTATAATAATAAAATATCTAATAGCTATAAAAATTAAAAAACAAATTAAAAAAAAATTATTTTATATTTTTAAATTTATTTATTAATTTAATTATTATTATATAAAATAGGAAAAGAACAGAAATAGATTAAAAATTTTTGAATCAATATATATTCTAAAGTATCAAATAAAACAATATAGATAAAAAGATTAAATAGTAAGGATGTGGATAAAAATAAGGTAAAAATTGATCTTTAGTATCTTTTGAGTATTGAGTATTGAGTAAAAACATCTTTTCAAAAAATAATCTTTCTAAAAACATTTAAGAGATGGCGTTAATAATCAATTCTTACATTATCTCTATCTTTTTCTTATTATTTGCTTTTCTTGTCTATATTAATTTCATTTACGCCACTCTAGAGATGGCGTTGATTTCCGAATTTTTAATCTATCTCTGTCCTTCTTCCACTATTTGCTCTACATTTGCCGTAAGAATGCGATCAATGATGTAAATATTAATTATGAAATGTCAGTTGAATACATTATTACATTTTTTTTATAAATACATTATATCTTAATATATCTCTTTAATATAAATAATATAGATATTAAATTCGATTCTGATTCGACGTTTGATATTTAAATAAATGAAAGTTTGAGCTGGTTTGATAATAATGAAAGTAGAAAGAAATTTTGAAGCATTTTGACAAAAAGCAACATCATCGAAGATTATTTTATTAAATTATTCATCTATCTTATGTATTTTGTCTATTTATATATTGATAAATAAATATTTAAGAGACTATAGTCGATAATAACGAAAATGATAAAAATTTTAGAAAATACTTTTCAACCGTCGATATATTTGTCGATACAAAATTGTTAGTGATTATTTGATGATGCTTTTTACATATACGTAATTTGAATAATATTACTTTGTATTAATTAAAGTTATTTTATTAAAATAAAAGATATTTGATTAAAATTAAACGTTTTATTTATAATTGAAATATATTTTATTTGATGTTTCAGATCATGTAAAGCTAATCATTTATACAACACGCAATATTATTTTTAAAAATAAGTTTTAACTAAGAAAAAATTGAAAACTAAAAACTTTGTTGCGAATTTTCGTGTGGTAGCATAATAATTTGGTCGTGAGAACTTGTTCCGAATAGACCACACCGTATCGTCAAATGACCAACATCTGGAAGTGATTTTCATGTCGTAAAATCTTACTACCTACCTGCTGACCGTGCATAATTTCGCATATATATCATTAAAAATACAACCGTGACAAAAATACTATTAAAAAATCATCCGTGACAGATCAAAAAAGAGAGAGAGAGAGAGAGAGAGAGAGAGAATAAGAAAATACGAATGATATGATGGATAAATTTAAACAATTTCCAACAGATAAATAATTTTCAAAGTTTTCAAATCATTATATAATAACTCGATAATGTATCTTCTGCATTCGTTTAAAATATGTTTGACCGCGAACAATAGAGAAAAACCGGAAGAATTTATTTGGAGAACAGAAGAAACTTACCCTTGGGCTTACTGGTAGCTAAAAAAACTGCAAATAAATACACACCTTTACACAAACTCGTGTATATACAGTCACACCTACATAAGGAATTCGTATAACCCAGCCAGTTGCTGCGGTGCGCAAGAGTAATAAAAAAAGAAACACGAGAGGAAAGGACCGTTGGCAAAGAGAGGCGGCAACGGAAGCAACGTCGAAGAGATGTTATATATATGAAATAGAATGAGAAAGAGAAACGGTACACGCGTACGTCTGTGTTAGTAAAATTATGGTGGGGATGGTTACATAGAGTCGCTACTAGGCGTGGCATATGGAACCACCCAACCGACCAATCAGAACAGGAGGCGTTATCTAGACGTATAACAATGCTTCGTGTAATACATAGTTCAGTGGTTCTCAACCGGTATAAAATCAACTTTTTGACCGTAAAGATATCGTGCAATCGTGAAAATTTTTTCAAATATACGGTTCGAGCATACGCCTTGTATGAAATAAAAGCTCGAAAACTAATTGTTTCTAAATTACATGGTCATAGAAAATAATTAATCTGTGCGAGCAGTATATTATCCTCATGAAAGCCTTTATCACACCACGGTGGGATGAAACAGGGCTTAAGTACCGCCTACGTTAGAAATCATTGACACAGGCGCAACTCGTGAGGTTATGCGGCTGCGTTGGTACGACGAAAGCTTTTCCAGAATCCGGAACGATAGAAGGAGGCAGAGAAACAAAGAGAAAGCGATGAAGAGAGAGATGATGAGACAGTGGTGAAAAGAGGGACAGAAAGGGAGGTGCGAACAGAGAGAGAAAGATGGAAGAAAGGGTAGCAAGTTGGAGGAACGTTGGTCTACGCTCGGTGGGGAGTCCAGCGTGCACCGTGCATCCAGTTGTATACCTAAATGCGTACGGCACTGTTTTAATAGTACACACGCGTAGTCACGGCCCAATGAATTGATCCCGCGAGGTGCATCCCCCGGATAAAAAAGATGTCGCGCCATCTTTGAGGGCACTCCCGCTTCCAGAGGGCTAGCGCGCGCATTTTCGATCGTGGACCGTCACCCAGCGCATAGGTTTTTCTCTAAGCAAACGCGCGTGTTTAAAACAAGTTTTGATTAAGAATGAAAGAATCATTAAATTATCGCCATAAATCGTTTAAAATTGCCGCTAAATTATGGGACCGATAATGTTAAGACCAATGAAAAAATAAAATTTGATTATCGTAAAATTATTATTTAAATAAATATTGAGATATGTAATATTCCAAACATTAAATGTTTATAATTCGCAATATTTTAATATGCAGTGTTAACACAGAATAACTGTCAGCTCTGCGTAAGATGGTTTAAAAAATTAACATTGTAAAAGTGTCATTTCGATCGCGTTCTTGATGTATAATCGAAAACGAAGGTTTCCGTTTACATTCATTGAAGTTCCGTCGGGCGGATAAAGATGTGTGTGAAAGGAAGTGAACAGTAATTTTTTATCAAGACTTACTTAGAACAGATCGTAATTAACACGAAGTACTTTCAGTGTAGAAAAAAATTGTGACGTATATATTTCCTTTTTTTTTTATATATGTATATATATATATATGTATATGTATATATAATTGAACACTTTTAAGAAACTTTTTTATGAATATTTTATAAAAATTTAAATTTCGAATCGTTAATAACATGGAACAATTAACAATAGTGTAGAGTAACATTTATAATTAATTACAGAAGAGAAAAAAAAAGTCAGTAGAATTAGTTAATATATAAAGAAATAACAATAATATTCGATGGAATTCCGTGAACGATTGAAGTGCGTCAAGTACCGACGGCTTGATCAAAGTGTTCGCTCTTTGAGACACCCCCGCTGCCAAAATTACTTTCGCACCAAGGGTGACTAATTGACTCTTCCCGGTGAAATACCGGTGAGATTATGGGTTTATTTAAAGGTAAGTAAAACCAGTCAGATTTACATACTTTTGCATTTAAATAAATATCTGCAAGTTGCAAAGGTAAGTACAAAATACTTAGCTATAATAAAAAAAAAAAAAAATATGATAGAAAAGAAACAATCAATAATTATATGGTCAATCTAGATAGGTATATTAAAACAGATTTAAATTCAACAGTTTAATTTCAAGAATTTAAGTTTAAAATTCAAACTTAAATATATGAATACTATTGCACATTATTCCCTTAGAATTTCCGCAGAATTTCAAATTATTTTTCTTTTACGATTTTGATTAAACGATTTCATTTCAATATTTTGATATTTTGATATCTTCGAAATGAGTAACGTGCGAAAATTAAAAGAAAAAGAAAAGGTTTAACAAACGTCAAACCGCAAAACACTCACCTATTAAACACATCGATCATACAAATCTACATTTTCATTGTAACAATTTCAATGAAAATATATCGATTCGCATTCACAGGTGTAATTTGATTCGATAAATCTGGATGCTGGCAAATTGTTCGTCTATATCCGTCGAACGTATCCCAATATATTGCATTACGGTACCCGCATGCTGTCCCATGGGAGACTCAACAATCACTTTTTCACCCCTTTCCCTTATAACTTTCTTGAGAAACGACCTTTGATCCCAAAAAAAAAAAGAAAAAAGAAAAAAATTCCCACTCTACGCTATAAATATACCATAAAGTACCATAAAAATTGCTCAAACAATAATTCGGTTCACGTGCCAGCATTCGACCCTTTAACCCTTAAAAAACAATTTTACCGGTGTTTCTATCGACGAATCGAGAATGCGATACGCATGCGATAAATTAACACGTTAACAGGCGCGCGTGTCAGTTTTCACGGTTGTTCGACGTTGGTTCTAATCACTTAAGTATCCCGCCGCGTCGTCGTTTCGAAAACATTTCCACACGACGAAAGCGAAAGGGGTCGAAATCGAATTCCTCAAGATGGATGAACTCTATTTCAAGATAATCAGAATACGTGGATATAGGTGTAACGAGACGCGGCCCGAGTTCTCGCCGTTTTTAAGCGCTGTTAAAGTAAATAGTGCGCGTGTTACGTGCCCCGTGACAAGGGGCGTGCCGTTTCCTAAAGTCATTTGTCGAGAAAATGTCCGGCTTTCGAACGTGATCCTTTTCCGTGTTCTGCTCGGTACCCTTCCATAGCTTACGGAACGGAGAAAACTTATGTCTCCGTGCAGCTGTCGCGACAGCGTTAAATCTCGCAGGAACCCGTCGCTGCTTCTTTTTTTTTTTTTNTTTTTTTTTTTTTCTCTCTCCTCCTCCCCTTCCCTCCACAAATTCCAACAACCAACCACTGCGTGTTTTGAAAAAACTTTTTTTTTTTTCTCTTTTTCGAACTATGTATCATTTGTAATACGTAGATTTGTATCTTTAAGCGTATGAAACATTTTCGAGCATTTTTTTTTTCTTTTTCTTTTCTTTTTTTTTTTTTTTTTTTTCATCCATACCAATCGCACCGTTGTTTCGAAAGAGGTTTTCCGATTAATTTTCCAGGGAGATTTCTATGTTTGCTTACTTTCTTTTTTTTTTTTTTTTTTTTTTTCTTTTTTTCGTTTCGTTCGAATTCCTTCAACGGCACGTGGTGACGAAAGAATTAATTCCACGAGAGGTTCCACGAATCCGCGGTCTTCTAATCTTGATTCTTTATCAAAAAAATAATAAAGGGCGATCGAGAGTGATCGGAGAGTGGTTAAAACAGATTAAGATTGTTTATTTGTTCCCGATATTTTTCGAGTGGAACGACATTTCAAACGTAGAACAATTCATCGTCGATTAACATCGCCGTTTCGAAAATGAAACGTTTTGAGTTAACTAATAATAGTAAGATTGCACGCAACATCCTGGCACGTGCGTAAACAGCTCTTAGGTAACTTCGGCTCCGAGGCTCACGACACAATAGTCGGCAGAATATTCGCCGTTTTGCAAACGTCGATTCACAGAAATCTAAAACTGGCAGTGTCAACAACTACGGTTTTCTTATTCATTGTTACCAACGAGAAAAGAAACGTCTAATTTCACTTCCAGCCCTTCGACTTACCTCATAGGGGATCTAAAATTAAACTCGCGCCAAAAATTTATTTAGTCTGTAGCATTGTCGTCTCCGCTATCGGAAACAAATCAAATTTGTCGACGTCGTTAAATCACGGCTCGGCCGTTCAACGCCCGAGACCGAGAGAGCAAATACAGAGGCCCATAAAGTCGCGTTCCTACACGAATCACCCTTATGCACAGGCAACCCAGTGTGACAGCGTCCTCGATGAATTTTTATGCTTCCATTTTCTTTTTTTTTTCTTTCCCTTTCTCTTTCAGCTCTCTCTTCTCGAAAAGAAAACTTTCTTAATGACCAAACGTATCATTCACGATATTTATATTTAAGTTTCACGCGTTGGAACACAAAATTGGCCCGTTTATTCCGCCTCGTTCCGAGCGTGGACGGGAATTTAATCAATAAATTTTACGAGCTCTAAAAAAAGAACGTATACATAAATATTTTTTAAACGATTTTATATATATATATATGTATGTATGTATAATTATTATAATATATTATAATATATAAAAATATAATATAATATATATAATATAATATAATATAATATAAAAATATATATAATATATATATATATATATATTTTTTTTTTATTCTAATTCGACGGATTAATTTATGAATAGGAAATCATTTGTCTCGATTTCCTGTCGTTTCGAGAGGAGAAACAAGAAAGTGCGAAAAGTGATCGCGATCACTTTTCCAAAGGATCTTCGGCTAAGATCAGAGAAAGCCGCAAACTAGCCAGCTGTTACACGGTCGTTTTAGCGGGCGGATAGGTGAAAACGATTTAAGCGTTTCGACATGTGTAGAAACACGACATCCGATACTTCCTTACCGAGACCTCCTACTATGGTCGGTGCTCGTCCGATTGAGATTTACGATGTTGCATCTTCTAAATGGCATGAGATCGCCTGGTACACGGGTTATTGAAGTCATTTATAGCGCAACAAGTAAATAAATTTCTCGCCACTAATCGAGAATCGCGTTAATTCGTATTTTCTTTTTTTTTTTTTTTTCACTTCGAATAATTATTCATCTCGTAATTATACTTTTTAACAGGTTTTTCACTCGTTATTTTTTTTTTTTTTTTTTTTTTACATCGCGTTTCTAACATCGCGTCGTCGTGGTAAAAATTATTTATACAATAACAAATAACGCTATTCAAATATGTAAATAGTGAAATCGCAACGAAATCGGAAAAACGAAAAAGAAAAAAAGAAAGAGAGAAAAAAAGTAACGATTAGCAAATGGTTACGATCCTTTGAAAAAATGATACTAAAAATAAAACGGAAGTTTCTTTCTCAGAAAATGAAGTATGAATAATGCAATTTACAGTGTTTTAAGACAAAGAGGAGTAACGCATCCTGTACAACTTCAGACTTTGTTTCTCCTTCCAGAAGAAACTGTGTGAGACAAAGATAGAAATTAGTGGAGGGAGGAGGTAAGGGATGCCTTCCTTTACGTGAAATCTCTGTATTCTCCGTTCTCCGTGTATACCGTGTATGTAATTCTCACATGACTAAAAAGGGGAGCCCGTGGTGGGGAGATATGTAACATCGGGATCCCGAGTCAAACTCGAAGTTTAGTTTTGCTTACGACTACCTTTAAGTTCCGCGCCGCGCCTCTTGTCCTCTGACCTGAGTCACGACGCGACTCGAAGAAAGAATGATAGTGAGCCGTCATCTTCGAAAAAATTTTGTGCCATTTGTCATCGCCAGCAACACGATCGGTGTCCCACCATTTCTTCAACGAACAACGAACAACGGATATTTGGATATCGTGTGAATTCAATATGAAGAGTGAGTACTCGTTTCGATTCTCCAATAATCGATCATTTCCATCACGCTTTACGTAAAGTGTCTGTATATATTCGTAAAAAATTATCGTCAAGGGACGTATAAAATATGGGAAACGAGTGATACGATACGTATTATTCCTATAATTTCGTCGAGTATTATTTATTAAGAGAGAGGAAAAAGAAGAAAAAAAAAAGAAGAAGAAGAAGATTATCGTTCGCAATCGACGTTCCATTCGTTCGTTTTCGTCGAACTTTTTCCCTTGGATAAAGAAAATTTGTCCGGATGAAAGGAACCGATTTTCGGTAATTTTTCTCTTCCCGTGAGTGGAAGTGGACGCGTTCTTGCGACTTCCAATAATCCTGCTAAATTGCTAGGCCGGTCGTTCAAAGTTCGTTCGTGTATCGGGTTGGCTTAGTGAAACGGGAGAGAAATCGTTAAATAAAAGCGACCATGGAGCTGAGGGCCGAGGGAACACGGCGAATAGTAAAAAAAGAGCAACGTGTGTCGCGGGTCGTCACGGCAGGCAACCCCCATCGTAGCTTATGGCGTACGGCCACGTGAGATTCAAGAATTTCGTCAGGCTCTGAGTTGCCTTTTGTCATCGACTCGGTCCTGAGTTCCAGTTCTTAATTCGCAACGGCGACAACGAGTTACAGTCGAGTAAATTAACATTACATTATTTCTTCTCCTTTTTTGGTCACGATGTTAAAGGGTGGAGGTGTAAATTATTTTTCTCGCAGATTATAATTACGTATTTTAACTGATTTCCACTCTGCAGATCCTTTCTTTAAAATTTTGATTTTAACAATGGAACTAAAATCACATTAAATTGACATTAAATCGGGACTTTTTTTATTTCTGCAATTACTAGAAGAATATATCCAAGTTCTTTTTATTCAAATAAAAAACGTAATTCCATTCATTGTTTTAAAAATTATTTAACTTAAACTTTTATATATAATTTAATCACGTACATAAATATCCTTAGATGTAAGATAATTCTGGTATTGATTTCGCGTTCTTTTTTTTTTTTTGTCTTCCTTCCATTTTTTCTTTTTTTTTTTTTTTTCTTTTCCTTTCTTTAAATCATTTATCA